CAATCTGCGACTCAACTCGCCGAGTCACCCCGAGACTCGCCGAGTCCCACAACTCTGAGTCCACTCGCACACAACTCACCGAGTCATCCCTCGACTCACCGATTCTCGACTCAACCAGAGAATATCGGGACCCTTCGACAAGACTCGTCGAGTCCAAGAACAGAGTCGCCGAGTCTACGGCTATCTTCAACCTACTCGCCGAGTTGTTCATACAACTCGCCGAGTTCCAGGCCATCTTCATCCAACTCGTCGAGTACACCCATGTGACTCGCCGAGTACCACCGTTCTGAATCCATTCAGAAGCATTCCAGGCCATGCAATTGCTCCAAAACATAGATCTAGTCTCCTACCACTCATCCATCACGTAAAGTGGCAAACTTTACGTGAATCCAAGGAGATCTAATCCGTTTGCACATTGGGGCTAGGGTTTGGGACATGTAAGCTTCACTAAACACTCCAATACAGGGACTTTCATGCACTCTAGACCTTCTCCCTTTCAGATCTGAGGTAGCAACCTCAGATCTAACCTATAAACTCCAATACATCCAAAGATATGATCTCCAACACCCCCAAAATGATGCATCTAAGAAATAGCAACTCAAAAAAACGAGATATTACCTCAAAGGAATGCCCCAAAAGAAATGAGACTCGAATCCAAACAAAGCCCCTTGCTCCAAGCCTTCAATCTCCCAAAATTCCTTCACAAATACATTCTCCAAGCTCCAATCCATTCAACAATGGTTCTTCTTCGTGATTTAGGGTTTTCTGGGGCTCAAGGGGTGATAAAGAGGCTGGGAGGGAAACATAATGATCTTTATATAAGGCTCAACCCCGAGAATTAGGGTTTTCTCCACACAGCGCCTACTCGCCGAGTCCATTACACTGACTCGCCGAGTCGGCCACTTAACACGCGACCAAGTCGCGACTCTACTCGCCGAGTCCATCCATGGACTCGCCGAGTCACTCTTTCACAACTTACTCTTTTAGGCCCTTAAACTCTACTATTGATATTTCGGGATGTTACACTCACACTACGCCATTCCTTACGAAGACCCATAACAAAAATTAAATTGAAATCCATGGTTGATCTGGTAATTCCATATCGATTGCATTGATAGATTAATTCATTAAGACGATCGTAGTAAACTTCAATCGTTTCACCATCTTTTTGTCTGAAGTCCTTCAGTTCCACTAAGCATTGTTTCACAAAGTTAACTTTCGTCTTCTCACTCCCCTAAAATTTCTCCTTGAGAATGTTCCAAATCTCCTTTGTAGTTGTAAAACTCCTTACATAGATGTAAACAACTGGAGGCAAAGCTCCTCTTAGCTCTCTCATGTATCTCTTCTCTAGCTTTTTCAGACGATCAGACTGATTCTCAACTACGGAACTTCCATAAGATGATCCAATTGGTTGAATATTCGTTGGTGGATTGAGATTATCAGAAATACAATTCCACAGTTCTTCATCCAATCCGTTGAGATAATCCTGCATACGATCAGCCCATTGATCGTAATACTCAGGGATTAGCATAGGAATTTTGGTGGATGATCCTAAAAGATGAGAAAATGAAGTCATGGAATTAAGACTGAAAGGCGCCATTGTTGTACGGAATAAAACCTTGAGAGTTTTTGAAGAAACTTTGATAATTTGACAACAAACTGTATGATTCAAACCATAATCACTAGTAGAACACTCGATTCAATGATTCAAATGGAGAATCGAATCACAGACTTAGATCTAATGAATTTTTCACTTTCAAAAAGTGCGGAATTTCTTAAACCAAAAAGTTGATTTAAAAACTTTTGACAAGATGAAAATCAGATCAGAGATATGATTCCTGCTCTGATACCAATTGATGAAACAAGAAATCAAGTATAAAATGAATCAGAGTTTAATGATCAAAGTAAGATTGCGAGATTTGGACACAGATGTAAATATGATCTTGTTTCAGCTCTATTACGCTTTCAAGTTTTACAGAGTACAAAATGATAATTCTGTAAAGACCCGTTTTGATACCAATTGTAGTGACAATGAACATGGTTTGGCATGCAGAATTTAAGTTTGCACAATTGAACATGGTGATTTGGGTGCTAAAAGATATATTCGATCATAGTAAATGAGTACAAAAAGGGATCTAGTCTAGAGCTTCATAATTATCTCACTCACTAATCACTATGACTACATCTCTCACGCACAGCTCTACAAGTGGACAAACCCACCTTATATAGAGGTGTTTACATGTCTCTCTTGCACTCTAAAATACTCATTAGTCAAAAGGCTAATGCACCACATGCAAGTGGGTCTACACAAGTCAAACCATTACAAAGTTATACATGAAGAACTTTGCACCCCAACAATAGTAATAAAAATAAAGTCAAAATTAGCCAATGGAGTCTAAACGAAAGTTGTAGAGCATAATTTCACATACACATGGATATAAAGAATGTCAAAAACGGAGTTCGTTTGCAAATGATACGAATATTTGAAGTTTATGGCACAAATTATGAGAATGGTCCGAAGTCGTACGCCCAACGTACTCAGAAGCAAGGTCAAAGATCGGCCACGTTACCCTCTCTTCACTCAGGTGACACACAAAAAGCCACGTCCGAGGTCCAGGTTCCGAACCATGGACACATTGTTGGAATGCCTCGCGTACGAGGAGTACGCCCTATGTAGCGAACGCCCAGCATCCTCGCTGGTACGCCCAGCGTACTCCGAGGCTACACTACCCATAAATAGAAACCGAAGACTTATGGATTTTGTTTACAAATTCTCCCATTTTATGCCCTTTACTCTCTCTCTCTCTCTCTCTCTCTCTCTCTCTCTTTCTCTCTCTTTCTCTCTCAATTTACCCTAACACCCCCCGAAGTCCCGATATCATCCCCGACACCTGAAGCAAGTCCCGACACTTCGAAGTTCCTGAGAAAATCATATTTTCTAGTCGAAACTCTACCCGAGTAAGGCCAGTTTTAATTCAACTAAAATCACCGGTTTCGTCACAGAAAGTCATATTTAGAGTCGAAGTGCTGCCCAAATTATCATTTATTCTTTCGGTTATTTCACAGTGAGTTCAATATATAGGAACAATTGTATGTTATGTGTTATATGTGCTATGTGCTTTTCCGTATTATAATTTCGTGCTATTATGGTAGCAAAGTTGTACCTTTGACCATGTGATGAGTGGAAGAACTTAGATTCACAGTGGTATTGGTATGTAGCCTCTGGCCGTGTAGAGCATGTCTCGTAAGAGAATGACTTCTACCATATGGCATTGGCAGAAGGTTAGATAGGGCTAAAAGCCTGAAATCTACCAAAATGTTTAAATCAGTAAGTGTATGTCTTTTGTGCCATTTGGGCCGAAGCTTTATTGATGTATATCAAGTATGGGAATTGTTCTGTCTCATTGATTGTATATCTTTGAATCAAATCATTGATTGATATGGAAAGCTTGTCACATGATTCACGTATGCCTTTGTTGTTCATTATTCCTCTTTGCTTCTGCCATATTTAAGTATATATATGCCATACCGTTATATTGTATCTATTATTGAACTCACTAAGCATCACCACTTATCTCTCTCAGTTTTTAACCATTACAGGTAATAAGGATCAAGTATAGACATATAAATGTTAGAAGATTTGAATAGATAATACTATTACTTTTGTAATTAGTGTTCATGTATGTATAAAACTATAATATCCTGGGTAGTTATGTAATATATAACACTTTGTAATAGTTTGAAAAGTCGGTTTGTATCCAGTCCTTTGCAATCAAATTATCAATGGAAAATATTATTTATGAATATGCATGTAACATGTTTTGGAGTCATACAATGCAGTTTTAAGTTTTATTGAAAGTGATTCTCTCAATCATATGAAAGCATAGGTCTTTCAGATAATAAGTAAGGAAATGATCGAGGAAGCACCTAGGTATGTAGTCGACATTTAAAGAACGGGAGTGGGGACAACAAGCAACAACTCAGAACCGATGATGGATTAAAAAAAAGCCTAGAGATTTCCTTCAATAAAAACTTAATAGTTAAAAGAGGTTGAACTTAAAGATTTTAAGATGAAGAATTTTAGAAGGTATATACTATTTTCTAAATCTATAAAATAGGGTTAATAAAACATACCTTGATTGTTATATAGCAATAACAATTGAGAACCTAGTAATCTTGAACTTCAAGAGCAAGCGTCACAACTGTAACGCCTCTACTAGATCACACCCAAACTAAGCAAGAGGATGAGAGAGGAGGATAAGCTTATAGAAATTCAGTTATCCTTTTGGGATTCAGATGGCCAAAAATCTCTAGCCCTATGGGTCTATTTATAATGCAGATATGATACACTGGATAACCTTAATTTGAATAAAATATTATTAATTCAAGTTGGTAATTATCCACATCTTTAATTATCTACATAGGATAATCTAGAAACCCTAATTATCCTTAGTAAAACCGCCCATGCCTTCTTAGTAAGGTTCTGGAATCTCTTGCTCAACTACTGAACAATTGCACTTTAGTCCCTGCACTTTCAATTTGTTCTTTTAATCCCGAAATTAATTCCAATTAATTTATGATTAAATATTAATTAAATAATATGATTTCAAATTAATATATTATGTTCATAATACATTAATAAATCATTTATTTTATTTAGTTATTTAAATAATAAATTCAACCTCTTTCTAAAAGTCATCATGTCTAGTTGCTAGTTATAAGGGCAACCAAAAAAGGACTGTAGTACTATCAATTCAAGTATATACCAATTATAGTTTTGGGATTGGACACCAAATCCAACAAAACCTCCCTCACCCATCAAAATACCCTCCTTCAACAATTTTGACCAATCAGTAGTTTCATTTGTTGTTTTTGTTGCAGTTGTTGATATTTGCTTCAATGGCATTGAAGTTGGAATTTGAGTAGATAAATTTTCCCCACAATGACACTAGTTTCTTTCGCCAGATTCTTTCAATGAACCAACACCTCTTTCTCCCCCCTTACGAGACGTATGCAAAATGTGGAACATTTATTGGTAAGAGGAGAACTAGGTTTAATATTGGATCCAACTCTGTTTTGAAACTCGACTCAATATTTGAAACAACTGAGGAAATAGATTTTGGAGTGATAGAAGATTGAGACGAAAGATCAACTTTTGAAAAAGTCTCTTTAAACTCATAAAGAAATCGTTCAATATTTTTAAACACTTTATCATCCTTCTCAGTCTTGACCTTGAGATCATCCAAATAATCTTTGTTAAAAGCAGTGAGATCTTCAATCAAACGAGGTTCTGCACTTGCCACTACATCAACTTTTTTATTCAACGAAACATAGAAATTATTCAATTTCTCAACTTATTTGGAAATCAATTCGCTAGGATCTTTAACCTTTAGCTTAAGAGAAGCTTTCGTTTCAGACACGTGCTTGTTAAAGAGTTCATGACGCTCCTCTGTAACATCACATAACTTAGAAATCTCATAGTTAAAAGTACGAGACTTAGTGACCATTATCTCATCATTTCTTTTATCAATATCTACAATCAGAGTCTCCATTCGAGACTCATGAGCTTTCAATAAGGATTCAAGCTCAACACTACTCACAACTATCTTTCCAAAAGTATCACCCAATAATTGAAGAATGGAGTTCATCTTGCCAATGAGAATTTTAAATCGTTTACCTAACATGAATGCCTCATCAGGTACATCATTTTTTTAGGATTTAAATCCATGGTAGCTAACGAAACCATCATGTCATCATCATCGTCTTCTTCTTCGTGAACAATCTTCCTGGGATCAGTGGATTGAGAAGAAAATAAGGTAGTAATTGGTTCTTGCATCACACCAGCAAAAGTAGGAGAACCAAAAAAGTGTACATAGGTGGAATAACAGATGTTGATGATGGAAAAGATGGTTGTGGTGGAGAAAAAATCTTATCATGGGGATATAGCAAATTTCGAAATCCTAGGGTTAGACAACCCTAATTTTGAAATCTTGGTGGCTAAGGAAAGGGTTTGGGAAACCCTAATACAATCCGAAAACTAGGGTTTTGTAACCCTAATTTCGAAAATCCAAGCCCTAAGGTTTATTAGCCATAAACCCTAATTTGTCAAATTCATACATTTGTATCAAATCTAATTGAAAACAAAAACCAAAGACTCTGATACCACTGATGGGTTTTATACAAACAATCCTATATGTGCATGCAACCCTAATTGGATCTATGTTTTCACTATTAGACATACAACTTTATGAACACAAAAGGAAACCTTGATGGTTTTTAGCCATAAGAACTTTCCTATGTGCGCATGCAAAACCCTAATGCTTGGATCTAGGCTTTCTAATTAAACATGCTTTGAATCCAAGACTTCTAATGGCTAATTAGGTTAAATAACAACATTGAAACAGATCTAGAATCATACCTTTGAGTTCCTTGTTGATCTTGTTGTCTTGGAGCTTCTAGATTCACAAATGTCACTCCTCTAATGGCTTACAAACACCAATAGCAAGCAAGATGATTTAGGAGAGAGGAGAGGGGAGGAATTCGGCCATAGTATCTCTACTTTTGATGGTCTGTCGAATTCCCTCACCCCTAGGGTCTATTTATACTTGTAGACTCCTTAAGGATTACAACTTTAACCCTAATTGGATAACTTAGACTTTAAGTTGATCCATATCCTTTCCTTGATAACCCTATGGACGATTTTGGCTTATCCAAGCCCTAGAAATCGTCCATCCTATCTAGGATAAGGATTTATAGTCTAAAGTGTAACTATCAAACAATTGACAGTTTATACCCTCTTATTTAATTAATCTCTTTAATTCACCAAATTAATTCCAATTAAACTATGACTTATATTAATCAAATAACCATATATTATTCCTTATAATATTTACTCTCTTTTAACAAATCATCCATCAAGTTGCTATGGTGAAGGCAACCCAAAAGGACCATGCACAACCGGATCAAATACTTGCCTAATATAGTTGCAGCCTTAGACACTATTCCAACAGTCTCCCACTTGGATAAGTCTAGTAACTATACAAGTACAATTCGGTTTGCAATCGTAGCTCTCAAAGACGCTGTCAACTCTGATCTAATCAATCTTGTCCTTTAGATAAGGGATCTTACAGTCCTCTGTTAGATATCATGTCGACAATCCTATGGAATGGTTAGTCAAGCATTTAATTTCTCAATCTCCGATTTATTTGACATAGAACTTAATCAAACACATCAATTCAGTTCTGACCGGGCCCGGCACATAAGTCAAATCAAATCATCGAGTGGCCAAGATATCTCTTCTACCCTCTTAGGATAAAATTTACAGATAAACTTCGACTTATATGCATTTACTTATTCATTAACCAACTATACACAACAATGCGTTTTATAACAACGAGTTACTGATGCGTTTTCGCATTATCAATGTACAATCAATTAACAAATAATAAACCATATATCTAGGTTTTAAGACTATATGATATTATCGTCTTGCGATCACCTTTTATATCGTATTCCATAAGGTGATTCCAGCAAGCGCGGGTTTATTCCAATGCTCAAAACCAGTTCATAAGCACTCATGAACGTTGCAGCAACCCTTGCTATGTCTAACACCATTTAGACATTCTACACACCAATTCATGACAATCTTCATTCATATCTACTCCCAACATATGAACGATTGTGGACCATTTGAATAATTCGATTATTCCTAATAAACTCAATTATTCTGGAAGTCAAAACATGCAAAGTGAAACAATAGTTAAACAATTAACATGTGACAGTAACTTTACTCATAAATAAAACTCCTTTATTTAATCATCAAATGTTAATTACATTTATCTATTATACGTTTCTAATACTATCTAATCTATACTAATATCATCCTTCAGCCCAATACTCCTAGCATGCTGCAAGTGCTTAACCCTACTCAGTCCCTTCGTAAGCGGATCTGCTGGGTTATCTTCTGATGATATCCTCTTCACTACGAGTTGTCCTTCTTCTACACGATGTCTAATGAAGTGATATTTTCTGTCGATATGTCGAGATCTACCATGATCCCTCGGTTCCTTGGTCAAGGCAACCGCACCTTCGTTATCACAGAAAATCTCCATGGGCTCCTTTATGGCGGAACAACTCCAAGATCACCAATGAAGTTCTTAGCCATATTGCCTCCTTCGACGCTTCGCTCGCTGCGATGTACTCTGATTCGCACGTTGAATCAGCTACGGTTTCCTGCTTGGAACTTTTCCATGTCACTGCTCCTCCATTTAGGGTAAAGACCCAGCCCGACTGCGAACGGTAGTTGTCCCTATCGGTCTGAAAGCTGGCGTCACTATACCCTCGCACCTTCAAGTCATCACTCCCTCCAAGGACTAAGAACCATTCTTTCATCCTCCGAAGGTACTTAAGGATGTTCTTCACCGCAATCCAATGTGCTTTGCCAGGGTTCCCTTGATATCTGCTAACCATGCTCAAAGCGAAGGCTACATCAGGGCGAGTACAAGTCATAGCGTACATGATTGAGCCAACTGCGGAAGCGTATGGTACTCGGCTCATTTCTGCTATCTCAGCTTCGGTACTCGGACTTTGAGTCTTACTCAACTTGGCATTTCCTTGTATCGGTAATTCTCCCTTCTTTGAGTTTTCCATACTAAAACGTTTTAGTACCTTCTCTAAGTAAGTATTCTGACTAAGTCCAATTAGTCTCTTACTTCTTTCTCTTACTATCCTTATTCCCAAAATGTAAGAAGCCTCTCCGAGGTCCTTCATAGCGAAACACTTCCCGAGCCAGGACTTGACTTCCTGCAGAGTCGGGACGTCGTTTCCTATGAGTAATATGTCATCGACATATAGAACGAGGAAGCTTACTATACTCCCACTGGCTTTGACATATACACAAGATTCGTCTTCGCTTCGTACAAATCCAAACTCTTTGACTTTCTCATCGAAGCAAAGATTCCATCTGCGAGACGCTTGCTTAAGTCCATAAATGGACTTCTCAAGCTTACACACTCTATTCGGATGCTTCGGATCCACAAACCCCTCTGGCTGAGCCATGTAAACATCCTCAGCCAACTTTCCGTTAAGGAAAGCGGTCTTGACATCCATTTGCCAAATCTCATAATCATGAAATGCGGCAATTGCTAGCATCACTCTAATAGATTTAATCTTCGCAACTGGTGAGAAGGTCTCATCATAGTCAACTCCGGGAGTTTGAGTAAAGCCCTTCGCGACCAATCGCGCCTTATATGTGTGTACGTTCCCATCCACGTCGGTCTTCTTTTTGAAGATCCATTTGCACCCAACGGTCTTACGTTCGGGCACATAATCAACCAAATTCCAAACTTGGTTATCGTACATGGATTGGATCTCGCTATCCATTGCCTCTTTCCATTTCGCAGACTCCGGGCCTGCCATGGCTTCCTTATAGCTATTAGGTTCATCAAGATTTACTAGTGTACCATCACTAATATACGTGTCCCCTTCGGTAGTAATATGAAAACCATAAAACTGGGGTTGAACTCTAACTCTATCGGAACGTCTAAGAGGTAAGGATTCGTCAATCGGTTCAACCGGAGTTTCCTCCTCGGGTTGAATGCCAGCGGTAGAGGTTCCTTCATCTATCGATTCTTGAATCTCTTCAAGTTCGATTTGCCTCCCACTGTCTCCTTGGCTTATGAGTTCTCGCTCTCGGAAAACTCCTCTCCTCGCAACAAAGACAACATTGTCTTTCGGTCTATAGAAGAGATATCCAAAGGATGTTTGCGGGTAGCCGATGAAAATACATCGCTCACTTCGAGGTTCAAGCTTGTCGTGAGTATCTCGTCTTACGAAAGCCTCGCAACCCCAAACCTTGATATGTGCCAACGAGGGAGCTTTCCCTGTCCACATCTCGTGAGGTGTTTTGGCAACCTTCTTAGTAGGGACTCGGTTAAGGATATGGGCGGCAGTCTCTAAGGCATACCCCCAAAAGAAGATAGGTAGTGAAGCACGACTCATCATAGAGCGAACCATATCCAATAAGGTTCGATTACGCCTTTCTGCCACACCATTCAACTGCGGTGTCCTAGGAGGCGTCAATTGCGAAACTATTCCACACTCCTTGAGATAATCGTGGAATTCAAGACTTAGGTACTCTCCTCCTCGATCGGATCGAAGCATCTTGATTTTCCTGCCCAATTGATTCTCCACTTCATTCTTGAACTCTTTGAACTTTTCAAAGGTGTCTGACTTTTGCTTGATTAAGTAGATATACCCATATCTACTATAGTCATCGGTAAAAGTCACATAGAAGCGGTTCCCATCCTTCGTGGTTGATCTAAAGGGTCCACATACATCGGTATGTATTAGGTCCAATAGCCCCTCACCCCTTTCACAAGTACTCGTGAAGGGTGACTTAGTCATCTTTCCAAGTAAACAAGACTCGCATGTGTCATCTTCCCTAAGGTCGAATGACTCCAACACTCCATCCTTTTGGAGTTGTGCTATGCGTTTCTTGTTGACATGTCCAAGACGACAATGCCACAAGGATGCTTTATCCATACTAGTGGAAGAATCAATATTCAAAACATCATTTCCTAAGTTATCAACAATCATAACAGTTTCATATATTCCATTACATGGTATAGCTTCAAAGTAAAAGACACCA